GGAGAGAGATGGAACTGTGAAACATCATACGTAAATGTGATGAGGATGAAATTCGGAGTCGTTATACATCTTCAGAGGATTTTCTTGGTGCTCACTGATGATTTCCACGCCATGAGCAGTTATGTCGGTTTTTTCTTGTTGCCCTCAAGTCAGTTTGAGTCCAAGATCGTCGTTTGTTGCGTTGACTAGAGGTGCGGTAGGCTGAGCGGGAGACGATCGCCGCAGAATTAAATATATTTATAGGTGATACTTAACAAGTAGAGAAAACGTATAGCGCGTTTCCGTGTATGGTTGTAGCTTTCCTTATTTTTACGTTGATGAAAATGAATGAAATGACAGAGGGCTGAAGGTAAAAACTCGGTACTGGATTATGCTGGCTAGATATTGTGCAATAATGGAGGGGAATATATTTTTCAACTTTGGGGTCTCTGGATCAGCAGACACTTCATTTATGTTGTCACATGCTGTGATTTATTAACATTATCGTGTATTTTATATCTGCACTTACTGCGATTTTCTTAATTTTTCAATTAACTGTTACCCTTTAATGAACATATTTTTGCCAAGTTGATCCTATAAATGTGTAACACACTGGCTTTAGGAATCGCCAGTAATTCTCTAAATGTTAGCTTATGTTGCTGCATGTTAATGATATGTTTATTTGATCAGACTGATCTTTCAGACCTCAAAAATCATTTTGGTTTGTTTATAAACTAAATTTATCTTGCTGTTTTCTGGCGTTACTTCGAGTATATTGAGCGTTACTTTGGGGGCAAACACCAACCCACAACAGCACCGAACACGCACACACACACCAAAACAAGGATAGTGGTTGTGTTGGTTTTGTGACGAATAGTCCCAAACAGTACATGATAAAAGGAAAAGGAGGGAAGGAAGATATCAAGAGGAGACTGAAGGAGGGTTTGGTAGAAACTGGGAGCTGTGGGCAGGAGAGGCAGGGAGCAGGGGGGAGCTTTTGGAAACATAAAATCAGTGTTTTTCTATCCTGACATGTTTGAAGACACTGAAAACTCTTTTTAAACCCATCTCAGTATTTTAACATTGTCCTGAACTGTCAGTGACAGAGGAACAAAGCGTGGTGAGGAGAGACGCACTCACCGCTACAGTCGAGAACAGACTGCAGCTTTTCTCTAAGTTGTGTGAACAGCGTAGTTTGACCTTAAACAGCCTTGATGTTGAGATACTGCTGCGGGTGTGATATTTTTAGACCTCTGTAATAATACATTCAAATCTGACGGAGCCCAGTTGCTGCTTGATCTTTCCTTTTAATGAAGACGTTTTAGGGGAGAAACGTGTGAGTGAGGAGTCACAGGAGCGCACGTGAAGGAGTGCACGTGAAGGAGTGAGCGATGCCGGCAGAGGGAATCATCAATCTTGTCAAAAGCAGTGTTTTTTTTATTTCAGCCTGCAGTGACAAACTTAGAAAATAACATGAAAGCGAGGGACTGTGAGGAAAGTTTCTGTGGGCCAGCGGAGCCGTGGGGGTTTTCTATCTTTGCACAAAGGCCGGGGTCGGGTTACAAAGCTTCTTGTGGTCGAGCGTCGAGCTTTGGATGCATCCTTGTACTGTGAACCGCTGCAGACATCAGTCGGTTTAAATCTTTTACAAACAGCAGCTCTGAGAGCGGAGCAGAGGAGCAGCGGAGCAGCGGAGGAGTCAGATCCCGACTGCGTGTCTGAAGCCTGAAACGTGCGCTGTGTCTGTGAAAGTGGGCCAGCGCCACGAGCAGACTTCTGCACAGCTGTCTGCCAACGCACATGGATGCAATGTCACCCTGAGCACAGAGAGGCAGTGACACACTCACCGGATCAAAACAGGAAACAAACCTTTCAACAGGGGCGGATGATGTGGAGAACACTTGCATTGTCACGGGAGTGCGTCTACACTCGATGAGGAGTTTTGTGGAGGTGTTACCTTGAGACTAGAGCTGCAACAATTAACAAGCAAATCTGTACTGATGATACACTAATTGTTCAAAGTCAGTTTTAAAGCAAAAACAGCAAACAGTTTGACAGTTCCAGGTTTTAAATGTGAGAAGTGTCTCTTTCTTTGGTGTTAAATTGTAGTAAAGTCTAAAAACGCAGCGCTGTTAAAAGGAGCGACACTCTAACGTAGATGCAGAAAGACACCGGAGAATCTGTGAATAACAAACTCACCTGAGGACCAACGCTACTATTCAGCTTTCCCCCTCTTACACAAACAACCAGCAGAGAAGGTAACCCGTATCACAGAGCTCAGGTTGATCCGTCACGTTTGAGCTACAGGAACCTGGCAGGATGACAGCTCACACACAACTCAGTAATCAGGTTACTTGTGAGCGCATGTGACTTTTGTTTACGAGCAGAATGAAACTAAACAGAAAAGTTTCCGTCTCATAACACACAGCGAGCCGGCGGCGGCGGGCGGGGTCGCACTTGAAACGTAAACAAGGGTTAACGTTTGAGGGACAGGCGGGTGGAGTCGATGGAGAAGACGCCGTCAGAGCGTGGATGAGTTACACACTGACACACATGCTCTACGCTCCCGGCGCTCGGCGCGTTGTAATTTGTGGTGAACCTCCCCCACCTGGCACCCGATCACACCACAAACCCCCCCGCAACAACACGCAAAGACACGATTAGAAATCTCACCTTGAAGTTTCCTTTTATCGGCCATGACTGACGACTAGGATGATGTCTTCATGCCTTCTTTCACTGCAGCAGACAGAGAGGAACAACGTGTGTTAACATGGAAACAGACAGTGTGACTCTTTTCTGTGACCTTAATGTAAACATGTTAAACAGTCACATACACTAACCCACCAACACAAACCTCCTTTCTCTTGTACACACGTGGTAATCATCTGTGCCCTCTTTACCTTTACCCGCTCTACGTCGGCTCAGGATTTCTACGCAGCGTTTTTCAACAACGCCGGCGAACATGTCTGAACTTGTTGCACTTAAAGTCCCTTGTTCACTGCGTCTGTAGAGTCCTGACCCGACGGCTTCACACCGAGCTCACCTGTGGGAACCTGGCGATAACCGCTGATGTTTAACGGTTTATAAGTGATTTCAAATCAATCAACAAACCACTGATCAGTTACCAGAGCGGATTATGATTCGATGAGCAGGTAGGAGATGGACGACTCTTTCACAATCATATGAACAGAAATTCAACCTCCTGAGTCTCATAACAACTCGAGGGTGAAACAGATTAAAAGCATCTATTCAGACGTGCAGTTACATTAAAGCGGCGTGTATTACAGAGCTTTGACCCCACAATGTGTCAGTATCACAGCTGATCTCAGTTAACACCGGCAGTCAGTCCCACTTTGTGTCGCACCAACACGAGGAGCTCAAACACAAACGGTTTCAGGATATTTGGACATTTTAATCAGTTTCCAGGTGTTTGTATGACTGAAAAACAACTCTCTAAACCTGATTTTACTGATTTTACTTCCTTAAAGAAGTTTCAGAATATGTTAAAGCTTAATTTCACTTTTCATTTTGCTTGTTGGAGGTTAAAACTACAACAGCAAATACAAAAAAAACTACGATTTTTAGACGTTATGTCTCAACAAACACAGAAATAATGCTCAAATAAAAACTGAAGGTTAATTATCTGTGCCGTCTGAGGGAGATGCTTTCTTGTGAGGAGATCTTTAACTGTGCGTTTGTGAGTTTAACTTCAGAAACACTGTTATTTAAACACACGAGACAATCGGAGGAAGATACTAAACCTAACACAAATGTATTCAGTTATAAAAGTGTCATTTATTTGTGTTCCCCTCACAGATAATAACTATTAATAACACTTCTCAGTATAACACGAAGGTAGTGTAACTGTTAGTGTGTATTAACGGGAGAAATTAACTGTTGAGTTCAGTCTTTCTGGGATTTAAGGAGAAATAAAACACATCATTTACTTCTCTGACTTTCCTGTCACTTTCTCTACTGTCACTGTCAAATAAAGGAAGAAAATATACATTAATACTTTAAACACTGATGCTCCGGATTAATAATTGAAGATTTACACAGAAGGAATATATCTTGCTCTACCTTTAATTATTAATTAAATCAAATCCACGGCCTAAACTACTTTTCGCCTGCAGCCATGTGCTTGAGACATTTTACTGTATTTATCTTCATTATTTTAAAGGTTTATCTCGTGTTTTTTAAGAACTTTACCTGAAAAAACATTTCAATCAGTTCAATTAAATACTTTTTTAAATAAAATAATCTCTCTAAAGACACAATGCACAGAGTTTTACAGCCTTACACTACCTGATGCAGCTTTAAACTCCATTAAGACGACTTTAATGGATA